CTTGTTTCAACTAATATTTCATTTTTGTCATTTGATAAACTACCAGCACCACCAACAATTAATAACCTTTTAATATTCTGACGTTCATGCATGATTGTAATTAAGTTTTTAGCAACTTGCTGGTAAGTACTTTGAGAATTATTAATAGTAGGGTTACAATTTCAAGGCTTATTTGAATTATCAAACAAAAAAGTTAAAGTACATCTTCAGAATCTCAAGGTTTAAGTTCAAGAAGTGAAGCACGATTGAATGTTAATGAAATTAATAATTCAAAGCCTTTATTAGCAAATACAAAAATATATAACTCACAAATACCCATAAGTTTTAAGTCAAAAAAGTAAAGTGTAATAAGAAAAAAAAATATTAATTATTTGAATTAATATTTTTATTTTCTTCACATATAATGAAAAAAGTATAAAATAATTGTAAAATTGCAGCGCCAATTAAAGCATCATTTTGAATATGATTTGTTTCTTGCGTGGTAAAGCTAGGCAATAAACAAGTTTTCTTCAATAATTCTACCAATTTTATTATTTGTTAATGAAAATTGTTCTCTTATTATATTCCTATAATCATGGTTACTTTTAATTAACATTAATATTTTTTTAGTAGCACCAACATCAAGATGCTAACGTTTTTTAAACACAGGTAAATTTAAAATTTGATCAATATTTCAAATGTCATATAAGTCAAAAATTTTATGTTTTTGAAAAAAATAACTGACTTTATTTTTAAACTTACTTTCATCGTTATAGACTCACATAGTTTTTTAACATTAATACCTCAGTTCTATCACCAAGTAGGACTAAAGTCATAAAATTACATTTTAATAGTTTATTAGTTAAATTTTTTTTAAAATGTTGTTGATGCTTAACAAATCTTAAATATTCATTTGAAATATTTGGTTGTAGAATAATAGTTTTAACAGACATATGTCTTTTTTTATGCTATAAATTTTTAACACTTGAATCTTCTTTTTATCAATAACTAATAATGCAAATGAAAAAATATTATCAAAGTCATGAGCATACGAATTGTTCTTTTTCTTATGTAATGAAATACGAAAAGTTTCAAAATCAAGTATAAGAATCGGATATTCAGTCTTATTTAAAAATTTACCAATAACATTAACGTTTAATTCAATATCTAAGATATTTACTTTTAATATTTCCATTCGAATGCCTTTTCTAATATACTTACTTGATAACTATAACCAGCAGACGCTAAAATTGTAACGTGAGACTTATTATGTTCATTAACCTTATTTGATTCTAAGTAAGTTAATAAAAGTTGTGCATTAAAACCACCTAGTACAACATTAACAATTTCATGGGCAGTCAATGATAATAGAAGATTTTGTAATAAAATAAATGTTTGACTTTGTGCACAATGATTTATTCGTGTTTCCATGTCATAGTCAAAGAAATTATTAAATGTTGACCTACAAATTTCGTATTGTGGTTTCGTTAAGTTGCATCCTTTCCTAACTGTATCAACAAATAATTTATTCCTAGTATTGAAATTCTCACTACTGTAACTTACTCAAATAAATAAACACGAGCAAGCTCTTACTTGTTGTTGATTATCTGTGATTGGTTTGCAATTGTGCTATAATTTTAGAATCACTAATAACTAAAACTTTTCATGGTTCTAGACAACATAAAGATGGAGTATGACGCTACATAGTTAATAATACCGTCAATTTTACCATCATTAATAACTTTACTAGGGTCATAATGACGAACTGATTTACGGTTTAATTATTCTCCTTTGAGAATAAAGATTTCTTATTTAATGCTATTATTTAATAACTTCAGAAACTTGTACAGCGCCGTAACATTTCTTCCACCTACATGGATTGAGAATTGAGTATCTTTCTCAAGGGCAACTGGATGAATCAATCGAACAGTAATAGTCACATAGTCACCCGGCATATTTAATTCCGATTTTTCACCTTCATTGATAAAATCTTCCATACTTCCTGTAACGTCAGTTCTACGGAAATAAAATTTTGGGCGATATCCTAAATTGTATGAAATATGACGTCTACCGTCTTGATCAATTAGAATATAAACTTCGCCTTTAAATTTAGTACATGGTGTAACTGAGCCTGGTTTAGCAATAACTTGTTCACGTTAAATTTCCTCACTCTTAACTCCACGTTATAATACTTCAACGTCATCACCCGCTTGTGCTTCATCTAATAATTTTCTGAACATTTCAATACCAGTAACAACAACCTTTTTACGACCTATGTTAATAACAATAGTATCAATTTCATCATTTACTTTTAAAGTTCCGTGTTCAATTCTTCCAGTAGCAACTGTTCCACGTCTAGTAATAGTGAAAACATCTTCAACGGCTAACAGCACTGGTTTATCAACTTCTCTTTTTGGCGTCGGGATTTATTCATCCATTACTGTCAATAATTTTTTAATTTTTTCTTCTCACTCTTTTTTACCATCTAATGTTCTTCTTGCAGAAACACTAATAATTGGTGTATCATTACCTTCAAATTCATATTTAGTTAGTAATTCACGAATTTCCAATTCTACAAGTTCTAATTTGTCATCGCCTGTACTTTCAATATCACATTTATTTAAGACTACAACGACTTTTTAACTGCAACACAACGCGCCAATAGAATATGTTCACATGTTTGTGGCATTGGACCATCAGTTGCAGGAACAACAACACTGAACCATCCATTTGATCTGCACCTGTAATCATATTTTTAATGTAGTCAGTGTGACATGGACAGTCAACTTGCGCATAGTGAGGAGTTGATGTTTCATACCCAACGTGAGCTATATTAATAGCACTACCACGTACCCTTTCTTCTGAGCAGCATCAGTAGAAGCATAGTCCTTAAACATATCTTTATATCCACCTGCTTCAGGTTTCGAACAATAACTAGTAACTGCAGCAGTTAATGTCGTTTTCCATGGCACATGTGACCAATTCTTCCTATATTAGCATGTGGTTTTGTACATTCAAATTCTTGTTTTGGGCCAGTCAATAAATGCTTTGATTTTTTTACTCGTTTTCCTGCCATTTTTGTTTTGTCTGAAATAACTAACGCATACTTCTATTTAATTAAATTAAACACTAAGGTAATTTTAAGGTAAAGTTATACATTCATCTGAATTATTTTATTCTTTAATAATTCTTCCTTTTTGATATATACCAGCAAATGCTTCAGCAACTGATTTTGGTGCTCCTTCATAGCGTGGAAAAGACATTGTATATGTTCCACGCCTTGCGCCATAGAACGTAATTATACGAAGCATAACCAAACGTTTCAGATAAAGGCACTTTAGCTTCAGTAACTTTACTATTACCAGGAATTCCGTCTGCTTCAATAGTACCTCTTTTACCAGATATTTCATCAACAATAGAACCATGATATTCATCTGGAATAATAACTTTAACATTTATAATAGGTTTTAATAAACCATTATTATCTTCTAAGGATTTAGAGGCGGCAATATTGGAGGCACGTTCTGAAGAGTCGACAGGGTGGAATGAATCATGATATAATGTTGCTTTATCATCAATATCTTGATACCCAGCAATTAAACAATTAGCTAATGGTTCAATTAATCCTTCCAGCACTGGTTGAATATATTCATGTGGCACATCACCACCAACAATTTTATTAACAAACTAAAATCGTTTAATTCGATTTGGTTCAAATTTAATAATAACATGTCAATATTGACCGCGACCACCTTGTCACGTGAAAAATAGCGGACAAAGAAAAGAAAAAGAAAAAATAATTGAACGCTGATTAAGGGTCTTCGTTACGACAATTATTCGATAGTTATGGGACTTGCTACTTGTGTGGTGGATAATGAAAACTTGACGGTGTCGCTTATCAAACTATTTACTAATAATATTAATTATTACAAGGATTCTCTCTACATTTCTAGATTATTATTTATCGCACATTCTCACGCGGCAAAGGGACATTCACGCACCACATGGCCGGACACACACTCACTTTTTCTTCGCGCTTCTTTTGCTCTCCAGTTTTACCGACCATCCACATTCACTCGTCACCACGCATCACCTTTCATTCATACCAACTTAAAAGCTAATCATCCTCACAACTTGAACGTAGAGCGTATCCCTACTTCAAATATTTAATTATAAGGTATATGACAGATAATAATGAGCAAGTAACTTATGACAAGATTAAGACTGACTTTACACCTTTATTTACGGTCTACTTATACATAAATGTCGGTGGGCGTTGGCTGGTTGTGGGGATATGATGTGCGGGTTGCTGTTCGGTGATCTCTGAAAGTTTTGATGTGCATATTGCTTTCCGGTGATCCCTGAAAGGCTTGATGTGCGGATTGCTTTAGATGGCCCCTGGAAGTCTTGATGTTCGGATTGTTGCGATACCGCCTTTCCATGATCCCTTTAAGTCTTGATGTGCAGATTGCTGGGATAGTCTGATGTTAATGTGTAGATCTGCCGAGATAACGGTCGTTACAACCTGATTGATGAACAAGCTTACACTCAACGCGATCACATGCTGCTTTATTTGTTTCATATATGCAGCTTGTGGACCTCCAACGTTAGTACCTACTTTAAACTCACGTTTTAAATGATCAATTAATATGTCCAAATGTAGTTCTGCCATTCCAGAAATAATTGTTTGTCCCGTTTCTTTGTCTGATGAAACACGGAATGTTGGATCTTTTTCTACAGTCTTTAGCAAACCTAAACTCATTTTTCTTTCATCAGCTTTTGTTTTAGATTCAAGTGCTAATGAAATAACTGGTTCTGAAGACAACATTTCTTCTGAAATAACTTCATGTCTTTCATCACATAATGTATCACCAGTACTTGTATCTTTTAAACCACCAATAGCGCCAATATCACCAGTATAAACCTTTTTAATTTCCGCACGACTATTGACACGCATTTATAAAATTCGACCATCACCAATCTTTTTTTTCTTTAGTTGAATTTGATACATAGCTACGAGATTATAATGTTCCTAAGTATACCGTAAAAGAAATTAATCTTCCGTCAAAAGTGTCCGTCATGACCTTTAATGCCAACGCTGAGAAAGGTTCTTCATCGCTAGAATGACGTTCTGCTCCTTTTGATGTGGCAGGTAATATTCCTTTAATTGCAGCTACATCTGATAGTGAAGGCAAGTAATCAATAACTGCATCTATCATTAATTTAACTCCTTTATTTTTAAAGGTACTACCATATAATACTGGAAAGAACTTATCAGCAATTGTTGCTTTACGAATTACTATTTTAATTCCTGCAACTTTTAGTTCTTTTCCTTCAGCATATTTCGTAAAGAAATCTTCATCAAAGTGAGAAAGTGCATCAAAGAATACTTCAGATCTAATTTCAGCAGTATCTTTAAGTTCTTCAGGAATCGGAATTTCTTTATAATCCTCATTTGGTTCACCATCAAAATGGTACGCTTTCATCTCAATTATATTAATAATTCCATCAAAAGCATCTTGCGCTCCAATTGGACACTGAATTGCATGAGCATTAGTACCAAGACGATCTTTTAATGTTTGAATTAAATGATCAAAGTCAGTACCATTTTTATCCATTCTAATTGCAAAACATTTCTTGGTACATTACACCTAATTGCTTGATTTGAACTCGGTTTGTGTTTCAACCCCAGTTTGCGTATCTAATACTGCATCAGCTACATCTAACTCTCTTAATGAAAGATCCAGAAATAATTTTAATTACATCTTCTAAACAATAAGCATTTAAATCGGGTAATTTAATTTGCGCAATTTCTGTAATGTGCGCAATAGTAAGTGCTTCTACCGTTGTTAATTTAGCATTTGATGAACCATCTGCCAGATTAAATGCTCTTTTAAAAGAAATGTTGCTTGTGTAGTCTTTATTTTAAAGTAAAAAATTTTACCTTTATATACTGTAAAAAATTGCAATTGGAACTGGATTAACATCATCTAATTGATCTTTGGCTTTATCGTTAAATTCTCTACAAACACGTGGCATATCAATATCAGACGATGTTAAGCTAGCACCTATTTCGGCATTACCAGCTGGTAATTGAATAATACCTTCACGATTAATATTTTTTTTATCTGCTGTAAGCAAAACCTCCTAAATGGATTCTCATTGTGATCCAAACGAATAAATCTTCCACAAGTTTAAACATATTTAGAATCGATATATAATAACTGACATTAATAATATATATTAATAATAATAATAAATAACATTATTGTAATAAGCAGTCACATGTAATTCAATTATATTTTGTATAGAAATGAAATAGTTATAAACTAAACTTTAATTTTTTTACAACTACCATATTCTACATTAATTGCAGTTTGACGACGAAAAATATCTACAGAAACTGTTGCTTCACACTTATCTTCATCTAATTTAATAAATTATGCTTTTCGAGTTTGTAAAGCACCAAAAGTAATATGAACAAAGTCATTTAACTCAAAATAACGAATGACCATTTTTGTCTTTCTAGCTTTCGGTAGTGATGAATTTTTAGAATTACGATATAACATACCATTAACTTTCTTGGTAAAAAGTGGGTACACCGTTACCACTAGATCCAATAATACCTTTAACACCTGTTTTATAACGAATATCATATCAAGTATCAGCAGTCAAAATGATATGAATAAAAATATAAGCAGGAAAAATATTTTTTTCAGTTATTTTTTTATCTTTATCCGCTATTGTTTCTTTAATAACCCTTACTTGAAAAGCATTATCTCTTAAATTTAATTTTTTATCAATTATTTTTTTTAAATCGGCAGCAACTTTATCTTCATGGCCTTTGTTACAATTAACAAAGTGCTTGCTCAATTTGATGTTTATGTGTTTCTTCTAATGATGTAGTTCTCCTATCCTTATTATATTTATCAGCTGCTGGTGGATCACAACTTGACTTTCCTGAAGTTTTATGCGTTCTTAAAGGTCCAATTTTACGTAAAATATTATATTCACTTTTTAAAGGAGACAGTTTTTCAGGATTAACTTTTGGTTTCTCTTTTGAGTAACCTTCTGTACTCATGAAAACTTGTCCTAATGTGATTCCTTATGTAAAGTATGCTTTTGACAATATTCACAATATTATTTTAGTTCCATGCACTCTTAATATTTAATCCTATTTTTGTATGTGTCATAATTACGATTTAAACGTACTCTACAAATTAATACTAGTTTCTTGTTCATTAAATTCAACTAGAAATTTTATCCAATTCTAATTATATTATTATTTAGAAAAAGTGTCAATTCTGCAATATTTTTACTTTAAGACAAAGTTAAATTTTAGTCTTTATGTAAAATATATAATCTCTAAAATTGTTGTACAAGAAAAATTAAAATAACAAATAAAAAATAGTGCTCTTAAAAAAAACGTTATAATATAAAACCAGTTTTTATTAGCTATTAATACTTCCTAAATGTGGCTGTCTTTCATTGGGTTCTATGACAACTTCTGGCATATAACTGTTAGCATTTGCTACGAATTCTTGTTCAAACTCATAATCAGGAATTTTTAATTTCAGTCCTTCTTGTTCATTTTCACCTTCAATCGTTACTAATTCTACCTTCTTATTTTCAAGAGTAAAATTATCTATTGATTCCTTAAACTTTGTCAATGTTGGTATTCAATATTTTATTTATCCAGGTTTAACAAAGCTAGAAATTGTTTTATCAGAAAGTCTCATTTCAAACTGATCTCAATTGTTTTCTTCTAAATACTCAAATATTTCACCAGAATCTTTACTACTTAAAACACATTTATATCAAGAAAAACTTTTTGTAATATGTCTTTTTCTTTCACTAATAAATTTAATAATAACTTCTTCCGTACTATTTGAAGTATTAGATGTACTTGTTGCAGAAAAATATGTATGACGAACATCCATAATTGCTGAAATTGACATTACATTTCCTGCTAAAAAATTACCATTTGTAAAGTTAAGAATTGCAGTTGCAAAAGCAGTAAGTGATTTTAAGTATTCGATAGTTCTTGTTACTTTCTGGATTAAATATAAATCGAGACCTGATATTCCACTAAGTATTTTAACTAATCCGTTTGTACTAGTAAATAATTTATTTAATGCATTAGATGTCATTTCTGTAGTTAATTCATTAATTACAACATTTCCTGTTAATTGTTCAGCAATTGCATAAAGTTCATCATTTGGTAATTCAGTAGGAAAGGAAGGTAAATTTGGTTCTATAGTTGTACTACCAAAAGTTTCGTTTAAATTATATGCTTGACAAGTAACTCCAGCACCAAATGCTGCATTTAATTTATCAACTGGTCTGCTTTTAATTAAATGATAACCTTTTCAATATTACTATCTGTAGTAACAGACTGAAGTCTTGCTATTGATAGTAGAACTCCTGCTCTCGTATTAGTTCAATTTTGTGCTCTTAGTGCTCCGGCTCTAATTGTACCCTGAAGATTATTCAATGCTCTTTATACTTCTTTTCATTCTTCTCCGTTATTCGTTTTCATTTTATTAATTCCTTCTGTAATTAAAGTGGTTTTAAGGTGAATAAATCCCTACGTCATTGATTTATCAAGACTTCTTTATGAAATTAAACTTTTTATTTTAATGACAAAATCATTCATAATAATTTATTAATAATGATACTAATTCTTCATTTGCCCATTTTTATTGAGACAGACGGTCCAATATCATTGGCGTGAGATATTGAAGTACTTCTAAGTTAGTGATATATAATGTTTCCATCATGTCACAAAAATATATAAATAACAAATACCTGTGCTTTATGTCCCGCAGAAGGTTGATTTACTGCTCGTCATACTGGTAAATGAATATGTTTGTCTTGAATTCTTTTAGTGTTAAGATTTATTTCATTATTTTTAATTGTTGTTAAATTATTCATAACATTATAAATGGTATTATCTGCAGAAATAGTAAACATTGCTGTATATAAGGAAATAAAGTTGTTTCATGAATCAGCATAATCACTTCATTTCAAGCATGTAGTTATTTCTGAATTATAATCCATCGGCTTTGCTCCATCTTTTGGAAAACTATGAATTAATATTAAATTATTATTAGAATCCAAATACTTGTCATCATATCGTAAACATCCAATGCTAATAATAATTCCAGTACTATCAAGAAAATATCTAATACTCATATTTCCACTATTATTTTTAATTGAAGAATTATTAATAAAAGATTTTAAATTTGGATTATCAATCACACTATTAAAAATATTTTCAAAAATTTTCTCAATATTACTTTCATTATTTTTCAAACAACTCCTAGTAATAAACTGCTTAACAGAGTCAAGACAAATTTCCCTATTATTTTTTCCATGAGAATGAGCAATATAGTATAAACCCAACATTTCACTGAAATCATCATAATTTGACGAAAAGGGTCAATAGCAAGCTTTTCCCTAATTGCTAAAGCAGGAGTAGCAAGTCCGTTATCCTTCTAAGCAATAATCAACATTCTTCTTAATAAGGATTTATAATCACCACTTGCTAATAACCTTGCTAAGTAATATAAAGCTGCATTAACATCACTGCCTCTAATTGATCTTTGCAACGCTGACTTTAAATCATGATCTTTGTTTCCTTATTTAGTTCTTCAATTACCTGCTTTAGGCGTAATACCATTAATAATATCAATGGTTACTGTTTCATTAGGTCATAATTTTGTTAGTGTTTCTAAAATATTAATTGCTCTTCGTAAATCACCAGTTGCTAAGTTGCAAATTATTTCTAAAATTTCATCCCTAATATCAAAATTAAAAAATGAATTATTAGTAATTATTTTTCTTAAGCCTAGTGACATATCTTCGTTGCTAATTTTTTTAAATTCTGATAATAAACATCTACTTCGCAACGAGGGTTTAACTACAAAATCAGGTTTTTCAGTAGTGCATATAATTAAAATAAAATTACCATGTTCTAATTACTGTAATAATAAATCTTGACGATCACGATTCATACGTTGCATTTCCTCAATAATACTTATATAAGGTTTAGTATTTTCAGCTATTTTAATTAATATTTCGAAATTTCCTTTTTTATCATTATTTGCAGCTTTAAATATTCCAAATTCTCATTTTATATCATTAGCTAATACGTGAGCAATAGTGGATTTTCCTATGCCTGGATTACCATAAAATATTAATGATGCTGAAAAATTTTGATTTAATATTCCATTAATGATTCCGTTTCTATTATTTATCAAATGACATTGACCAACTGTCTCATTAGCAGTAGTTGGTCTTAATATCGTTGCTAGTGGCTTGTCCATACTCATCACACTTCTTTTTCTAATATAATCCTAAAAAATAATTTTACTTTAACGCCGTGAAGTTATTTTAACAATAGAATTAAAATTAATAAAGGTTAAATTATTATTTTCAATATTAACATCGAAAGGTTGAAGCATTTAATATTTTTTATGACCATTATATTAGATAATTATACAAATGTCTTTTAAGTGTTGATATATATGATTATTCTCGGAATCACTGGTAGGTGCAATATCATTTACATTTCTTATGATAACAGGATTCATTCTTTCGCGAAAATTAATTTGAT